AGAAGTAATTATTTCTTGTAAAGAACCCATTTCGATACTAAGGGATTTATTAATCTGGTATAGTATAAATAGATTATCAGAAAAAAGAAGAGAACATTGTTTTTGCAAACATGAATAGAAATGAATTTACCGATTCACCAATCATTGATGATATTTTTTTCATATGATGCTAATTTCAATACGTTTTGTTCTTTGTAATTCCAATTATATTGGTCAAGAACCAATTGAAGACGTTGGAATATGCATATATCATTCAAACTTAAAACTATTAACTAGTTTTGTTCCAAAATATATAACATATGTTCCTACCGGTTCATGTCGGCTTTCATCAAACACGTGGCTTTCGAACCTTTACCTAAAAGTTTTTGGGACCATTACTAATTGTTATTTAACATTAATATCTAAAGTAGAGATGCACAAAAAAAAAACAAGCTTGACTCATGTCCGATCCGAGCCTAGTGAGCTTAAAGTTCGATCAAGCCAAAATTTTGAGGCAGGCACGGCCTAAAAAAGCTCAATTTTAAGCTTGGCCTAGAAGAAAAAAAAATCGAACGGAAAATTTTGGATCCTAAAGTTCGGCCCAGGCTGAAAGACCTGATCAAGTCCTTATTTTAACTCTAAAACTTGGCTCTGGCCTAAAATCGTCCAAGTCTCTTTTTTTGGCTTAAAACAAAGTCTAAAAAAACTCGGTCCTTATACATCTCTAGTATTATATAATATAGAGTAAACTCTAATTTTGGTCCCCATAGTTTAGTGAAATCTTTGAAGGTGGAACCTAAATTATGATAACTCTAAATTTGGTCCCTGTGATTCTTATTTTGTTCTATAAGTAATCCTCCGTCACCTACTCCGTTAGTTTTCCTTGTTAGTGGTGGGGGAATTTTTGTCCATTAGGCTACTTCCCTGATTCTCTTTAAAAATTTAATCATATAATATATTGTTTTTATTATAGGAAATTAGAATCTCTAATAAATATTTTTCTAATAGAGAATTAAAATCATAGAAAATTAAAATCTGCACAAGTATAATAAATTATCCATGAACATACAGATTTTTAATTTTTTTTCTATTAGAAAAATATTTATCAGAAAAATAATTATGAATAATTTACTATATTTATGGATGATTTTAATTTCCTATAATAAATACAAATGTATTATTATATAATTAATTTTTTAGAAGAATTACAAAAGTAGCTTAAATGGACAAAAATGTCCCTATCACTAACGAAGAAAACTAACGGAGGATCACTTTTTTCAGAATAAAATTAGAGCCTAAAAATTAAATTTAGAGTTATTAAAGTCAAGGTCTCACTTTCAAAGATTTCACTGAATCACACGGGATCAAATTAGAACTTACTTTGTAATATATGAAAAAATATTACATTATTTTTAAAAATAAAAAAACTAATAATAAACATATAAACCAAAACATAACGTAAAAATGTTATGTTCCTCGAGAATCATTTTAGAGTAATCTTTTTTAAATAAAATTTTACAATAAAGACAGTGGTTGCTAGTGGTCATAAATTTCGGTCCAAGAGGGCCTTTTTAACGGTGGAGCATATGGGATGGGATATGCTACAATTACAACCCGTCAAAAATCAAAATGCTTGTTTATTCTTTTCTTCGTTTAACGTTGGTTGGCTTTTAGAGTATCTTTTTTAACAGTTGTATTATAATTATTTAATAATAAAGAATAAAAAATATTTTTTATTAAAATATATATGAGATAGTAAATCCAGTGTTTCGCTAAGATTTTGAATAGTAGTCCACATTCAAGTTGATTTTATTGTCTCTTTTCCATAGAAAAACGATCAAACAATTCTCAATAATGATTCTTGCAGAGAATCATCCCTATAATATACAAAGAAAAACTCTAGATATTTGAAATATTTCTCTTTGAACAAGACCTTAATTCTAGAGACGATTCATTAGATATCCTACAACTATAATTCCTTTTCTTTCGGTCCAATCCCTCCACCACTGCCAACTCTAGTTACAACTTCGACAGCTACTCTATTTTTTGCAATCATAACATTAACTACATTTATAAAATATTTATTATATTTAATAAATATTATTTTTCTCTTCTGTACATTTAATTTCAATACTTTTTATTGGTGTGAAATAATTAAAATATTGTTTCTCTCTCTCATATAGAGTTTTACGGCTTTCTCCAAATTTGAAGATTTCGACTTTATTCTTTTCTCTATTTTAGTATATCGTTTAGCATAGTTGTTCGAGCAAAAAAGTTCTTAAATTTTCAAAATTTTCTATTTTAGCATAGCTATTAGATATGCTCTTATATACTTCTCTTTAAATCAAGCACAATCAATGGTTGAGATTATCGAACCACAAACTAACAGAACATAATAACAGTTTGATGAAGAACTCATCCTACAAAAAGGGATGAGACTTATGACAACCCATCCCACGAAGAGAAAATGATGTTTGTGAGGTCCTTGTAAACTTTAAGTTGTGAGTTACAAATAACTTCCATTAAATAACGTTTGGTACGTAAAATGAATAGGATAGGACATGACTAATTGTTTGTCCTACGTTTGGTACGACCAAGGACAACGTACATAATTTAAAAACATTACAACACAACAATTGTAAATACGTACATAATTTAAAAATATTCCAACACAACAATTGTAAATAACACGTATCATAACATCATCAAAAGTTTAAACATTTGAAGACAAAAATTGTCTTCATAAACATGTCAAGTGTACCAAAAATAATCTAAACATCCAAAATATTACTTTTGTTTGACCATATTCTAACATTACTACTTGTCCTCATCATAAATTGATTTCACAAATTCTAGTTTCACATCATCATTCAAACTCTTCCAAAAATGATATTGGGACGGTTTGTCACCAAAGTACTTATCCATTCAAATGATTTTCATGACACCAAGTCCAAGTAGTTTAAACTCATTACTTAAGCCATCCACTTGTATGTGTTCACTTGGATGAAGTTAACCATATATTGGAACCTTGAAGTATTGATGGTTGGATCGATTGAAATATTGCTAAATGTTCCTCCTAGACCTTGTATGTGTTTCTCTAGCCTTGTATGTGTCCAAAATAATGAAGGCTTAGAAAGGAAAGGAAAGTTAAAGGAAAGCCAATACACGAGTTGGAAGGACTTTGAGTTTATGTTTCATAGGTAACCAAAATAGGACAGTATGATTGATCAAATAATAAAGCCAATACCAATAAAATCTCACATCAACATCGCCTTCGCCATCACCATCATTCTTCTAAATAGGGGATGACACTTTGATTCCTGAATTGGTTTCCATTTACAAACCCAACATAACATGCAAATGCTAAAAAACTGCAGTAATTGTGCTTTCTACTCTGTATTCTGCTATTATTGTTTACGGTAGATAGAGTTACTTGTGATTTCTACTATGTATTCATAGTTCCATGGAAACTCACAAAGCATTGCACCAGTGGCCAATTAATTTCGAAAAGAAGCAATTCAATTCCATAAAAATATGCAATAATAAGTTAATGGCTACAATCTACAGATCAATAATAAATTTATACACTTTGCATCATCCAAAGTAATAAATTAACAACTACAACCTACAGATCCATGAAACAAACACATCCTAAGTTAACAGCTACAGTCTATTGATTTGGAGTTTGTGGAATCGAGTTCGTGAAATCAATTTGGTGGAAGCTGGATTTCGTGAAATCGACAACCATGGAATGTATGGAGAAATCGATTTCGAGGAATCTGAGTTTGTGAAATTGATTTGGTGGAAGCCGGAGTTCGTGAAACTGACAACCAAGAAAAGTATGGAGAAATCAATTTGGTGGAAGCTGGAGTTCGTGGAATCGAGCTCGTGAAATCGATTTAGTGCAGGCAAGTACGAAGAAATCAACAACCATGGAAGATGGAGAAGAAATTTTAACCGAATCTGGGATCAAGTTCGAGCTCGTGGAAGCCGGAGTGTGGAATCGACTTGGAGTTCGTGGGAGACGGAGGCAGAATCAAGCTGATGGAGGCGATGGAGTTTACAAATTAGGTTTTGTATCTGATGTACAAGGGTAACATTGTAATCTCAAGATTTATCCCAAAAAAACTCAAGAATAGTCCCATGAAAACTCATTTTTGTCTCATGTTGTCCAACCTTATTTTTGTCCCATGGCATACCAAACATGGCACTATTTGTTTTTGTCCCGTCCCATCTCATCCCACCCAGTCTGTGTACCAAACGCACCCTTATGGTTTAAAGTTGATTTTGAAGTTTTTGAGTCAGAAAAGCAGATAATCCCCAATTGGAGTGTTTGTAACATCATAAAGGGATCTCATAAATTGTAGATGAACAAGGAGCATCTGATATTCGGTTACTCCTTTTTTTTGTACGAACAAAAGTATGCTTCATCTTTCACCTTTCCACCAAGTTCAATGGAAATCCGGAAGATGGAGACTAATGGTCGTTTTCATTCCTAGTGTTTTGATTCTCCTGTTATCCTCCTTCAGGACTACTCTTTAAGGCTTTTCAAAATTTAAACGTGCAAATTCAGATGTATATGTATACGCAAGTTGAGCTGATGTTTTTTTTTTTTTTGTAATTACAAAATAATTATATATCGCGTTATTATTTCACACATATAGTTTGTCGTATTAAACATTGGAATGTTAATTTAGCTTGAATAGTAGCATCTATAATTCAATAACAATTTTATTGTATTATAGAAGTGTACCTATGTAATACAAGGGTTGGGTTCCAGTGAGAAGTGTAAGAAAGAATCTCCAACCTTGGATGCATGTTAGGACGAGATGCACCGAGATACACCAGATCAATCCCCGTATCATGCGTGATTCACGGGTGGGTTTGAGATTAAAGTTGATCAAGGGTCCAAATTCCTTCTTATGCTTCTCATCTTAACTCTCTTTCTCACACGATCCTTCGTCTGTAATACAAATGAGTGTAAATTTCGGGTGCAGTTAATAGTGCTAGTGGTAAAAAAAAGTAGTACATGATATCATAGGATGATGTATAAATTTATACCATTTGATTTCTAGAATTCTTGATTTTCAAATAAGCTACAAACAGCAAAGAAATTTGAACAACTAGTTTGTATAAACTATGCAGGCCCAGATATCAACTCAACAAGAAAACAATTTTCCAACTTTTTAGCGCAAAAATCTTGTCAGAATGCCTTAAAATTGACACGAAACAGAACACTGTAAAGCAAGAATGTATTATAGGCAGGGAAATTGCAAATAACGGAAGAAAACCCTTCACCTTGATAAAGAGGGGAAGCAATGCTCCCTTTACTGATTCATAACTGAAAGTGTAAATTGCAGAAATAGGTGCTGAAGAAACAATATTGCTTGCAATTCCACAGTAAAGTCCTGATAAACCTGTAAACAAGATTACAAATTCAAAACCAGTTTTGATAGAAGTCCTTCAACAAAAACAAAGTAAAAGTGCACCAAATACCTCTTTCATGCAGAATTGATTTGCCCAAGTATTGAATAGATCTTTGGTCAGTACAGCAAGACTGAACGACAGTCTTAACTGTATCCATGGGATGCAGACACAGGCTGACAAATATACCAGCAAATGCTCCAGCAAAAGCATGCTCTTGCTTTGTGAGTCCATACTGTAGTTTATATGGTGTTAATGAAAAAATCTGCATGGCAGAACTTTCCTGCTTGACAACTTGCCTTTCTTGACCTTCTTTGATCTTACTTAACTCGTCCTCTTTCCCATGCTGCCATTCTAAGTAAGGACTCGTACCTAAACCTTGATACTTCATGTTGGAGTCAGGTTGAAGGTCAGAAGTTGGAACGATGGAGCCATTACCATCTGCCTCAACATCCTGTATAGGACGAAGAAGATACTCTGAGCAGAGACATAACACCTGTGCTTGTTTTCATCATATTGTTTGCATATTCCCGCGATGAAGATTCCTGAGTTTCAGCTAATCCAGTTTTTGTAGTCATACCGTCATCAAGCCTAGTCTTTTCTGGATTACTTCTTTCAACACTAGCTGTTTCTCTAGCATTAAAGCAGTAATCAGTTCTTTTCTTATCATGTTCAGTAGAGTTCACGTTATACGTTGGACTCGAAAGCTGTATGTTGCTCATCCATCCATATATATTTCGCAATTCATATATCATTACACTAGAATCCCCTTTCTCTTTGCAATATAGCATCATCTTACCATAAGCAGTAAGCAGGCAACTCTGACTCTCAATGCAACAATCAAAAAAAGAGTTTTTTGGCTACACATACAGAGTCCGAGTCTTTTTGCACATTCACTGTAGGTGAAACATGGCTATCGGCCTCTAAATTTACTGAGACATTCTGACCCTCAGAAGAAATAGACGCAATTATATTTCCTTCCTCGGCTGGATAATAAAATGTGTTCTCTTTCTGAAGGCTATCATTTTTCTGTGTTGATGTTGACTTATGACGTAAAACAAGAAGAGACGAAGAGGCAAAATTCCATAACTGGCCGGCTCCTGAAATGAGATCAGCCGTGCTTAGTATAATGATCTGGCTTCAGCTTGTTTAGCAGGGTGTTTGCCATTATCATGGGAGCTGGGAGCATAATCTTCTTGAGTAACATCCCAAAGTCAAAAGAAGCTCCTCCATGAGGATTATATCTATAATTGATGGAAGGTATATCATTTCTACAAGATTGAGCTCCCCCAGTCATTAGTGCGACATAAATCAAGAATTCCCTCTGAGAAGAAAGATTGTCGGTGGAGAAATGCAACTGCAGAACGAAATCATATCATCATAAATCTTATTGATATACACACACACACATATTTGTAGTTGGGAACACATTTACTTTGAATTAATTTCTTGAACAGAGAAAAATAGCAAAAAGAAAACTAATGTAATAAATAGCATCACGCAGCCCAGATTTGGTGAAAAGAAAGTTTTTCATTCATGACCTCTGAAGTTCACTAGCTCCAAAAACCTAAAATCAAGATTCCCTATTGCAGAATTTTCTCATATTTCTGTTTAATATATCAAGATGTTTCACGTGCACTTGCAATGAAGTTTCAAGGGAGGGTGTGTTTTGCATTTTTCCGAAATTTGACGAATGAAATCCCTGTTCTGTCTATTCATTTTATCTTTTCTGCTTACTCCTAAGTAATTGATGGGCAGCACTATGAGTTTTTTGTAATCTTGTCGTAATTTTCAAATGTTTGTTCCCCATAGACCTAGGATCACTCCCCTTATGACAATTTAACGGCAATAAACAACATTTAAGCCATAAGCCACTATCTCACCCATAAAAAAAGGCCAAAGCAACCACAGACTTAGCTAATTGGCTTGACCAAACAGTTGAAAAACAACGCAGAGCCCTTAAATTCAAATCCATGTATGTATTGCCCAATGAAATTACCAATTTTATGTCTCTGTAAGAAAGAATATATCCAAGCTCCCAATGGCTTCAATCCAAGAATAGAATCATATAATCAAGTTCATAATATATTTTATGTGATCAACTAAAAGCAAGTCAACCATAGGCAATACCAATATCACCAAAACCACTGAAAAAGCAATTGCAATGCTGAATAGATTGAAAATCACATCAAGTTAAAAGATACACCTAATCTTCTCTGTATTATGCTATAATTGTTTACAATAAATAGAGTTATTTGTGCTTTCTACTCTGTATTCATACTCCCATGAAAACTCACAAAGCATCGCAACAGTAGCCAATCGATTTCGAAAAGAAGCAATTCAATTCCATAAAAAATCTGCAATAATAAGTTAACAGCAATAGTCTACAGATCAAGCTACAGTCTACAGATCAATGAACCAAACACATCCTAAGTCAACACTTAACAGCTACAGTCTACTCATTTCAAGTTCGTGGAATCGAGTTCGTGAAATCGATTTGGTGGAAGCTGGAGTTCGTGGAATCGAGTTTGTGAAATCGATTTGGTGGAAGCTGGAGTTCGTGAAATCGACAACCATGGAAAGTATGGAGAAATCGATTTGGTGGAATCGAGTTCGTGAAATCGATTTGGTGGAATCGAGTTCGTGAAATCGATTTGGTGGAAGCTGGAGTTCGTGAAATTGACAACCACATAAAGTATGGAGAAATCGATTTGGTTATTTCGTGCAAAAAAGTATGGAGAAATCGACAACCACGGAAGATGAAGAAATTTTATCCGAATCTGGAACGTTCGTGCTCGTGGAAGCTGGAGCGTGGAATCGACTTGGAGTTCGTTGAAGATGGAGGCAAAATCAAGCTGATGGAGGCGAGGAGTTTATAATTAGGTTTTGTATCTGATGGAGTTTATAATAAGGGTAATATTGTAATCTCGATTTCTTCCCATGTTGTTCCACCTTTTTTGGTGGAACAGAAAAACTCAAGAACAGTCCCATGAAAACTCATTTTTGTCCCATGTTGTCCAACTTATTTTTGTCCCATGGCATGCCAAACATGACACTATTTCTTTTTGTATCGTCCAATCCCACCTAGTCTGCATACCAAACGCACCCTTATGGTTTAAAGTTGATTTTAAAGTTTTTGAGTCAGTAAGGCTGATAATCCCCAATTAGAGTGTTTGTAACATCATAAAGGGATCTCATAAATTGTAGATGAACAAGAAGCATCTGATATTCGGTTACTCTTTTTTTTTGTACGAACAAAAATATGCTTCATCTTTCACCTTTCCACCAAGTTCAATGGGAACCTGGAAGATGGAGACTAATGGTCGTTTTCCTTCCTAGTGTTTTGATTCTCTTGTTTCCCTCGTTCAAGACTACTCTTTAAGGCTTTTCAAAATTTAAACCTGCAAATTCAGATGATTATATATACAAGTTGAGCTGATGTTTTTTTGGTAATTACAAAATAATTATATATTGCGTTATTATTTCACGCATATAGTGTTGAATTAAACAGCGGAATGTTAATTTAGCTTGAATAGTAGCATCTATAATTCAATAACAATTTTATTGTATTATATAAGTGTACCTATGTAATACAAGGGTTGGGTTCCGGTGAGAAGTGTAAAAAAAGAATCTCCAACCTTGGATGCACGTTAGGATGAGATGCACCGAGATATACCAGATCAATCCCCATAGCATGCGTGATTCATGCATGGGTTTGAGATTAAAAGTGATCGAGGGTCCGGATTCCTTATGCTTCTCACCTTAACTCTCCTTCTCACACGATCCTTCGCTTGTAATACAAATGAGTGTAAAATTCGGGTGCCGTTAATAGTGCTGGTGGTGAAAAAAACTAGTACATGATATCATAGGATGATGCAACGTGTATAAATTTATACCATTTGATTTCAACAATTCTTGATTTTCAGATAAGCAACAAACAGCAAAGAAATTTGGACAACTAGTTTGTATAAATTATGCAGGCCCAGATATCAACTCAACAAGAAAACAATTTTCCAACTTTTTAGCGCAAAAATCTTGTCAGAATGCCATAAAATCGACATGAAACAGAACACTGTAAAGCGAGAAATGTTACCTCTTGAACAAGGAGCTGATCACTTCCCCCTTAAACTAACACTCTTCCTTTTCTGGTTTAACGCAAATCTACGAGCCATAACAGGATTGTARAATTTCCTCATGTGTTCAGACAGTCTATGAATAGCACGAAGATCACCTAYGCTTGAGAGTTGCATCAAGAAAKAATCRAATTTTTGATAAGGCAATTTCATACCTTTATTCAAGATTTCTTCTAAAAGAGCACAAGCATCCTCTGTTCTTTCACACCCAAAAAGCCCTTCAACCATTACACAATAAGAATCAGTATCACGAATACATCTCCTGGAATCCATCTCATGCCAAATCTCAAACGCCCCATTTGGATCATCCATCTTAAAGAACATCATTAGTAGCATGTTATAAGTTTGAACACTCGGCACACAACCAACCTCAATCATTTTCATGTACAGTTTAACTGCTTCTTGGYTATCTTTATGATCACAAAGAACCTTGAGAAAACAGTTATATGTGACGATATCAGGAGGGTAACCTTTGTTCCCCATATCTTCCAAGAATCTATAAGCAGCTTCAATTTTCCCAGCCAARCACATCCCTTCAATCATTTCTCTATAGGTTGAAACATCAGGRAGGCAACCACTAGAAACCATATCGTCCACAAGTTTAAAACATTCGTTCATTCTATTGCTACGTGCAAATGCAACAATCATGATGGAATATGTTTTAGCAGTGGGAGCAGACATGAGTGTACCCTTTGCTCTCATGAACTCCAAAAGCTCAGCAGCTTCTRAGAACATYCCAGATTTACAAAATGTATCTATAGCCGTATTATACGTGAAGTTTTCCGGGGTATGGCCCATTTCGATCATTTCATCAAGTATTTGCATACTCCTGGTGGGATTTCTCACCCTACACCACCCGAAAAACAAAATATTATAGGTGTTGGCATTGGGCTTGACTTTGTTCTTTAGCTTCATAAACATAGCTTCAGCATCTTCAACCAAACAAGACTTGCAAAAAGCATCTAATAACACATTAAGTGCATCGATCTCAGGCTGCATCTTTTTGAGTTTAACCTTCTTCTTCTTTGCAAACTTATGAAGATGAGACAAATGTTTATCCGCATATTGTCTCAAAATCTTCAACAATGCTTCAGTAGACACACTAACTTTGTCATTTCTCTTCATGTAATCCAAAAGATCGCAAACGATACGATATTGCTTTGCCTTATATTTTGTATTTGAAAGTATGTCAATCATCTCATTATATGCATGAGGTTCATGATTATAGTTTTCATGGTTCCCAGCCCATGTGAAAAACCTAAAAGCTAACTTCTCCTGAAACCTAAGGCTACCTAAAACCTCCATCACCAATGGTGTTGTCAATTGAACACCAGTTTGGCTAAGAGATCTCTCCATGTCACCATTTTCTGGGTTGTTAGGCTTACAATCTATAATAATATTGTACAAGTTCTCAGCAACACTGGAAATGGGAACACGGGCATTAGTTTTTTCATCTAACGAGTTATTATCAGAACTGTAGTCACCATCTTTTTCATACAATTCATCATCACCACTCAAAACTGAAACATGCCCACCAGGCGTTTGATCAAATGCATCACAATCACTTTTGAAACTATAAGAGTGAATCAATGCAAATTTACAATCAACCATTTGAGGGAACGAAGTGGGAAGTGAAACAGGACTAAATTTCAAAATGGGTGAATTGAAATAGCTACGATACAGAGGTATTAGTGAACTTACTGTTTGGGAGAGTTTATGATAATGAAAACTCGAAGAGTAGGATAAGAGTTTACGGCAACGGATTTGGCAAAAGAGATTTATATTAATCGGTGACATTTGAAAGAAACGAAGGCGGATCGATTAATCGATAAAAGTGGTCTTCAATACGCAACGAGAGTGTTGTTTCAACATCTTTGACTTCTGAGTCTGCCAAATACGAACCAAGAGATCAAATTAATAGCAAATATGTATCATATGTTTTGATTTTAAATTAACAACCGTTATACTGTATACATAAATATCACTTTTCTGGACTCTGATTCCAAGTGAGATAATCTAATTTTACCATTCATTGCTTCAAATACCTAAAACTTGTAAACTTGGAGTTATAACTTTCCGTTACAAATTAATTATTGCTTTTGTAACTATATTTAAGATAAACGTTTAACTCTTCAAGATGGATGATTGTAAATAAACAATGTCAAGTAAGTAAGGTTTGGTGCATAGACCGGATGGGAAAGGCAGAACTAGATAGGACTAACTGTCTCCCCTAGGTTTGGTATATGGCTCAGTAAGATGGACAGGACAAGACAAAACTGTTAAAATGATAAAGATTGCCCTAAATGTTGTTTGATATCAACCTGTTAAAATGAACAGGCCGGGAGACTAACTGTTGTTCAAAATGACAAGAAAATATCACCATACGGTAAGGTTCTCATTTATCATATCAAATTTTTTTATTAGAATTTCAACCAATAATATTGAAATCACACACACACACACATATGTAGACATAGGGACCTTCTTTTGAGAACCATCTAAAACCTTTGAGAACCTGCTCATGGGTTTGTGAAACAAAAAATTGACGTAAAAAAGTTTCACGTGTGAACCGAATACATATGAAACAAACAAGTTGTGAAACAAATAGATGCTAATTAGTACAATAATATTATACTTAAATGAAAAAAAATATATGTGAAACCTTAAGGTCGATGTTCTCACGATGTCACAAAATTTGTTGATGTTCTCACGATGTCACAAAATTTGTTGATGTTCTCACAATGTCACAAATTTTGGAGTTCTCAAATGATCAAGCCGCGATATATATATATGGTTCGATTTGTGCAGACTACTAGCCTTCAGAACTAAAGTTGCGTACTAAGGTAGAAATCACATATATGTGTGTGTGTATATATATATATATGCACAGATGTATACTAGGGCAGAACTAAATTGTAGTTAACTCTTAAGTTAGTAGAAGAAATCGATTTGGAAAAGAAAGCAAAGCTGTGTACTAGGGTTCCATTTGATAGAAGAAATCGATTTGGGCAGACTGCAGTTCGATTTAAGAAGAAATCGGTTTGGATGTAAACATAATCAGACCAAGTTGATAGAAGAAACTGTACCTTGGGATCTTTTTGGGCGTTGAGCAAGTGATCGATGGTCTGATTTTGTTCTGGGTGTCGAGATGTTGGGGAAGAAACAATAGGTATTTCTTCCCAAATTTTCATTCCGGAACATAAGAAATTGTCATTTTTGTTGTAGGATAAATGTGTCTTCGTCTAGATGATATGACGATAGAGATAGATATATTAGAGTTAGATTAGAAGTTAAATATCTCGTAGTTATCTCCTTGTAACTCATCCCTGTAAAAAGGTTTTATGATTAATGAGAATTACATATTCCTTCTCTCTATTCTATTGCTGTTCTTTTTCAGTTATTGTATAACAATTTTTATTTTCATTCGCATTTTTGTTTTATAAGAAGAAACCGGGTTGGATGTAAACGAAATCAAACATCCCTTAATTATATGAAAATTGTTTGATTTAATTTATTTTATTATTAACTAATCAAATAGATACAAGAAAAAAGCTCACAAAAATCTGACGACCTATCTTAGGGTTGTTTAGTAGTTGCTAAGTGGTTTAATGCAGAATGGTTAAGTAGTCAGAATGCTTTAGAGGATCTGTATGATATAATGAAGATGAAATATGGTTTTTTGGTAAATGTTCTGAATGGCCAATCTAAATGGCAACAAATTACCATTTTAACCCTAAATATGATTTAGTTCTGAATGAAATATAGTTGTTTAGCATATATCTGAATATAATACTTTTTTGCAAAATTACTAGTTAAAACAACATTTCATATTAATCAAAACAAGCATAACATTACTTGTTCAAGTTCTAGCATAAAGTTTGGACAATTACTAACCATAAGAAACCAATTACTATTCATATGAACCATAAGGAATAAACAATTGAACCATATCAACAACTAAAAGTATCAAAAATGAACCAAAATCAACAATGAATCATAAGGAACCAAGAGTAGCATATGCAACCATAAGCAACCAATTACTATTCATATGAACCATGAGAAATCAACAATGAACCATAAAATCAATTACTAAAAGTAGCTAAAAAGAAGAACCAAAATCATAGTAGCTAAAATTCAACAGTAGCTAAAATCAACAATGAACCCCCAAAAAAAATTTGAAGAACTGAAAATCAGAGTAGGTAAACAAGAGGGATCACGGTGAAAACCAAAATCACAGCTAATAGTAAAAAAAAGATTGATCATTGTAGCTACAATTGAGGAATCAAACTAAAGAACCAAAATCACAATACTGAAAACCCGTTAGCTAAAAAGAAGGGAAGAATCACAATACCTGAAATCAGTCAACTTGAGAGACAGAGGGAGACGACGGCGTCGGAGACGAAGGGAGACAACCAGCATGAGAGACGGAGGGAGACGACTGCGTCAGAGAGATCGATGCGTGGAACGGTGGGAGGAAACAAGGAAACGGCTGGGAGCTTATGCGTGAAGGGCAGATGTAAAAAAATGACCTGAATCATACAAAATCTAAGAGGTCGATTTCTTTTGCGAAACAGCCCTTATTTCTAGTCAGGAAATTTTTAAGAAAACCTAACGGATTTTCTTATTTTGAATAGTTTCAGTCTCTAAATTATATTTTTAGCGACTATTTTGGATTGTTTATAAAAATAATTTATTGACTTATTTCGATATGTTACCGGCATTAATCCATTTTAAGTGTTTGGATAAACAACTTATACCGGTGTCAAACCGGTAATAAGAAATTTTTGAAAAAGTTAAATCATTTTAACTTATAATAAATTGATAAACATTTTTGTAGAAAAGCATAAGTTATTTCAAATAAGCAAATCTCAAACACCCCCTTAAATGAGAAAACCATTAAATTTTATCATCTTGAATGATTAGTCTCTGAACTATTTTTCTAAATGAAAATTCCATTAAACTTTCATTTATTGATTGAAAACTCCATTAAACTTTTTCATTTTGATAGATTAAGTTTTTGAATATTATTTTAATAAATAAATCATTGTACTTTTAAAATGACCTGTATCATTTTAACCCAAAAAACTTACATTAATCGACTAGTAAAAAGTTCGATGATTTATTTATTTTGAAAAAAATTCATTGGTCTTAGTCGTTCAAAGTGTGAAAGTTTAATGGTTTTTCATTCAAAAAAATAGTTTTTGGACTAAACCATTCAAAATGAGAAAATTTGTTAGGTTTTTGAAGTTTTCCCTTTCAATTATTAAGTTCTTGAACTATTTTTTTAATAAAAAATCATTAAACTTTCTCATTTTAAATGATTAATTCCTTAACTATTTTTTTGAATGGAAAAATCAGTAAATTTTCTCATTTTGTATGATTAGGTCCTTAAATATTTTTTTTGTAATAAATAAATAATCGAACTTTTAAAAATTGGTTACCTACATCATTTTAAAAAAAAAAAAAAAAAAAAACTATTTGTAACCGACTAGAAAAGTCTCAAAGTAAAAAAAATCTAAATCAATTTTACTGTTTGCAAACCCCACGCCCCTCAAACCCCTTGCAAACAACATTATCACTCCCTCTCACCACTCCTTGTCGTCCTTTCATTGTCGTTCTTCGTATTAGCTATCACACTATTGGCCATGGTATCGATCTCCCTTTTTTTGATCTATTTTTATGATGATTACAAGAAGTTTTACTTTAAGATCTTTTTAGTCGGTTACAGGTTTTTTCTAGGTTAAAATAATGTAAGTAACCAATTTTTAGAAGTTCGATAGTTTATCTTATTAAAAAAATGTTCAGGGGCTTAATCATTCAAACGAGAAAGTTTAATGGTTTTTCATTTTAAATAAATAGTTCAGTGGCTTAACCATTCAAAATGAGTAACTATAATGGTTTTTTCATTCAAAAAAATAATTTAAGGATTTAATCATTCAAAATAAATAATTCGTCAGGTTTTTCTGAACTTTTCCCTAAGTAAAACTATAAAGTTTAATTAAAGGGATTAATGAAATGATTTAATAAAAAATAACTTATATGCATAAATTGGGTGTTTTCATCGATAGAGTTAAACATATTATGATCAATTCAGTTTATACGAGTCTTTGTTTCTTACTAGTTCGATACATTTTATTTGGTTGTTTATTATATCCTTCAACTTTAAGACTTGAGATTATGTAAGACTAAGGGTTTTTTGTGAGATCCGTAAGACAAATTCTCAACCTTTGGATTAGATCTACAATCTGAACATTCATAATCACATTTTGCCACGAGACTTCTCAATAATCACAAAATTGTCACCGTACAACTTTAGACCATTAGATCATTAGCTTATAAAGTTTATCAATGAACATAAATTGGTCTTACGGGTCTCACGAAAAACCTTTAGTCTCACGTGAACCCAACCCTCAATTTTAATGTGCTATAAATCACTAAAGAAACATTATTCATGTGTGTACTACGAGAAGTTAACATACGTTGCATCAATCAAGAACAAACTTGTAGCAACATGGCCAATATTGTATTATCTGTATAGGTCGCAACATAAATAATGTTCTCGAGGAAGATCACAAAGACGGTCTTCTCATAGACAAAACCATTGACATGCTTCACACACAAGGGTAGGGTGTAAAGGAGTCGAGTAACAGGTTATTCGAGTTCGACTTGAAAAAATAATATCAAGCTGGAGCTCAATTAACTTTTTTAAACTTAGGCTCAAGCTTGAGCTCGTATACTTTTTCGATGTTTGAGCTAAAGCTTGATGTTCGTTTGTGAGCTTGAATTTGAGATTGATTAACTGGTTTATTTACTCAAACTTGGTGATTTTTATATTTTGATTATATAATTTGTAAACGTATAAATATGTTTGGCTCAGAAAATATGTATGCTCGAATGGCTCGGCTTGGTTTGACTCGACGCATAATGTTTAATCGAGTTTTCGAACGAGTCGAGTCGAACATTGGTATTATGGAACTCGACTCGTTAAGTTAAGCAAGATTTATTTTGTGTCGAAGATCGACTCAAGCTCGATATTGAGAATCTCGAACACGACTTGTTTACCCCCTATAGAAGGGTGATGTCAAACATAAATCATTTGTTATATGATTGTTTTAGCTGTGTTTTTTCGTCATCTTTTTTTAGTTTTGGCTTTGTTAATTTTTCGCTTTTTGTTGTTGTCTAAGGATCTTGTTTTTGTTACATGGGAATAAAATTATGTGAACTCCATGTTGGATGTCTTTTACGATGATAATGTTTCTATTTTTATTTGTAAATTATAAATTTCGTTCATTGGTAATATTTAAATTACAATTTAGCTATTTAAACGAAACAATTGCATAAATGTTATCGTGGTTTTACTTTTTATTACGGAATGGATCCCTTGTTCTAACATCATTAACCTTAAGACTTGTTAATTTTTTTTTTTTTTGAAAGGCAAAAGGAAGGACAAGGAAGAGAGCTCCGGCAAGGCCATCACCCTCACCAAGCCAACCACTATATTAAAACAAAAACAAATCTAGCAAGAAGCTAGATACAAGAAAATACAACGCAACCAAAAATATGAGGGGCAAAAAGACGGAACCAAGACATCCCCTTACAAAACCAAAGTAAAAAAGAAAACCTATCCCAAACAGACGGGAGGACAAAAACAAAGAGACTAAATAAAATAGGGAGAGGAAGACCAAACTTCCCAATTAAGATGAAATTTACGATTTCTGTTTCCCATCCAAAGCTTCGAGATATTTTGAACACAAGGGAATGGATCTTCACCTTTTTTCTTGGTTTTCACCTCATCCTCAGCATAAATAATTTCGTTCCGCCACTTCCAAAGATGCCAAAGAGCCACAGCGCATACTGATAAAAAAAAATATATCAACCTTGCGAAGAGATCCTACTTGTTTGATCAGCATTTTAAAATCAGCCACCGATGAAAGTCGTGGAGCTTTAAGATCCCACCAAGCCCAAATTTTTCTCCAAAGAATGCTTGCCACCGAACAAGAAAAGAAACAGTGATCCATTGTTTCGACACCTTTTTCACACAAGATGCACTCTAAAGACTGTAACTGAATCCCTCTCTTAGATAGATTAAATCTTACGGGAATAGCCTCTTTAAGAAAACGCCAAATGAAAATGTTTACCTTCTTCGGAATTAAGGGGCTCCAAAGACAAGGATCGTTGCTTTCACCATTCGAATCAGCTAGCTCTTGGATTAACTTTGACATGTGTTTTACCGTGAAAATCCCTCTTTTGTGCCAATTCCAAGACCACACATCCTCGCCCGAAGTATTAAAATGCGTTTGAGAGAGTTGCCTTTTTAAAGCTAGAAGATCATCTAAGCTTCTTCCTCTAACCGTTGTATTCCAGTTCCAAGTACCAGACCAAGAACCATTAACATAGGTCCATCTATCTTTGAAGACAGCGTTTTTATCCCTTTCTAAAGCATAAAGTCTAGGGAATATATCTTTCAGATTTGACCCTTGACCTATGCTTGCGTCTTTCCAAAAGAGAGAGTTAGACTCTTTAGCAATCTGTTTTGTAAACGAGTGAATGACATTCTGACTTTCCACTGTCACATTTCTGCAAGTGTTGACAATAGAAGCCCAAACACTATTTCCAGCCAAAGGCCTATTAGAAAAGAGACCACCACCCTAGCCATAAAATTCAGAAATTACATCCTTCCATATGGCATTAGAACTAGATAGGAACYTCCRGACCCATTTTGCTAACAAAGCATCATTTTTTATTTTTAAACAGACAACTCCCAAACCACCTTTTGACTTTGAGCACAAAATTTTCTCCCAAGCGACCCAATGCATTTTTTTTCCTCCTCCTTATGTCCCCAAAAAAATCTTCTTCTTATAGATTCCAAGTTGTTGATAACTGACTTGGGCGCTTTGAAGAGAGAGAAGTAGAACAGCGGAAGGGATGTCCCCAAAAAAATCTTCTTCTTAAGACTTGTTAAATTAAGGTCCCCTCCCTCTCCTTCTCCGCCTCGACGACCATCCTTACGTCTGTCGTCTCTCTAATCTCCTCTCTCACACCACCACCAACCCTTTTTTTCTTTGGTTTCCTCCCCCCACTTCGCTGGATAATAATCATTTGTCTCAAAATGACACGTCTCATTCATGTGCCACCAATGAAATTAAGACATATAAGATTTTTATTTATTTTAATTTTTATTTAATCGATGTTCACTTTCTTTCTCTACTTGTATGATTTGTAGATATGAATGAAACGTTAAAATTTAGGACAAGTGATGGAGTTGAACCACCAAGCTCAATTATCTTCGACAACAATGGTTTATTTAAACGTAATTTTTAAGATTTATTTGACCATTGTAAACATTTTTATGGAGGAGGAAACCAACAACAAAACTCTTCAAGTCGTGGGTTTGCGGAATCTAATTCTTCTTCTAGTGGTCATCGACAAAGTCATTAAGAATTGATGACTAATTTAATGAACGAGGTTTTAAATGAATCAAGTAAAAAGTCGATATGATAACGATTTGGGTGAACTAAATATGTATGTGCATACTAACTTTATGGCCGCATTCCCCGCAAATGATGTCGAATATTTTGAAAATTTTGATTTATTAGATTTTTATAAACAAAAATAACCTCAATTCCCGATTTTGGTGTGCATCGCACATGATGTACTAACAATCCAAGCTAGTACCGTAGATTTGGAGTCTGCTTTTTCTCTTAGTGGCATGATCATTTCCATACGTCGGACAAAACTAAGCCCCGGGTCCGTGGAGTGTTGCATCTGCTTGAAGGATTATTTGGATAACGTTGGTAGGATTCAACACACGACATCGTTAGAGATGGAGATTGAAGCGGTGGAAGAAAATCCGAAATAAAATGAAATCTCCATGGGACTAAGCACGCCACCAACTACCAATACCGACAACACTTACTCACAATATGACGATGATGAGGAACTCGACATTGATGACCTTGATGACCAAGAGGCTATTAGAAGAATTCAATACCGAAACTCTTCAAATCAATCCGACATTGGATATCTATGAAGATTGATGAGTAAATGTATTTTCAAATAATTTTATAATAAATTTTTGTAAAACAATGTAATTTTAATTATAATAAAACGTATTTTTAGAGTGTATTTGAGTGACCCGTACGACAAATTTAATAACATAGTAAAAATACATATCATTTAAAAAAATATTTTTTTATGGATGAGACCGGTTAGACCTGTTACGAAGAAGGTAAGGCCCGATTGGGACCGGCCTGGCCCGAAACCGGTTTTTGGCCATCACTATTACACATACAAGGGAATGGGCCATTTGACCATGAGCCAAAGTCTTGGACTTTTTAACTAAACATAAAGTTCTCTCCGTATAAGATGTGTTATATGCCTTATGATAAAAACATCTTATGTCCAACATTTAGGTGGCGTTTGTTTTTTAAGAGGTGCTTAAGTCTGAAGTATGAATTCACTTCTGAATTTTAAGAGGTGGTGCTAAAGTCTGAAATCTGAATCAGTCAGACTGTTTGTTTTTACGTCTGAAATCTGAAATCTGAATCATTGAAATCTAGGCTTTCTTTGCAAGCATTGGAAGCTCTAAAAGCAATTAAGAGGTTTTAAGTGAAAATGTTATCTCTAAATAATTCAGACATAATCAGAGCTTTTAAGCTCTTAATTGAAAAAAAAAAACAAACACACTTAATACCCTAAAGTCTGACCGATTCAGACATAAGAGGGTATTAAGTGCTTTTTAGGTAAAAACAAACAGGGCCTAAGTGTTATTATCAGTTAGGGGTCGTTTACCAAACGCTTACCCGTGTAAGCTTTTACCAAGGTACACTACCTCACCGGATGAATATAGTAAGGACCTCTTACCCAATAAGAGCGAGACAAAGACCAAGAGTCTTACCCGATAAGTGAGGACGACGACTCTTACAATAGTAAGCGCTTACTGGGTAAATTGTTGCATTCAATGTCGTTTTAATAGACTAAAATCTTACTCGATAAGTAAATAATAGTGTTAAAATTTTACCGGTAAGCATTTACCGGATAAGTATTTGATAAACGACCCCTTAGCATATGAAATCTATGAATGGATCGCAAGATTTATTGAAAAGTATGAATTAATATTAATCCAAGAATAAAAACTTGTAATTTTCTTTCTCACTAAGCCAACCGTGGTTTGGTAATAAATGTTTTAGAAAAAGCAGCAGACCGGGTCGTCTAGAAACCCGTTTGACGATTGTAGGCGACTTTAAACTCGTTTTCGTTGCATCAAATCACAATTTCCCCAACCCTCTGCAGAAAACCGTCTTCTGCTCCGTGAAGTAGCCGTCGGCTCCGATCGCCAGCAGATATGAGCGGCCATGATTCAAAGTACTTCTCCACAACTAAGAAAGGAGAAATCCCTGAACTCAAAGAGGAACTCAATTCTCAGTACAAGGTTCTGTGTTTCACTCTTTCGTTTATATGTGTATCTATAGATCTATATAACGTAATTGTAATTGTGTTTATTGATCTAATCTTGTACTCGCTAGATTTTCATAATTTTGTAAGTTCGTTTTGGTCCGCTTGAATTTTCTGTCGTCATGCCAGCAATACTATCAGATCTGTTATTGTGACAAGAGATTTAATCGATGAGTCTGGAGATTTGAATTGATACAGTTTTTGAGATTTGGGAGCACGAAATACATGTATCAGGATTTGGAATTGAGCTGAATCTTCAGTCATATGCTTAAGCTTAACTAATTGTGCTTAGGTTCTTTCTCTCAAGCTATGATTTTCAATGCTCTCGAAAAATACGAGGTTTTTTTGGTATACATTACCATGGAGTAGTGACCCACAAAAAATTAGTCATCATGAGCTTTGATTTCAATTTGAGCTTCAGGGCCAGTGGTCTCGAAAACCATGAAATTTATCTGTGCTTACATACAAATGCCATTAACCAGTGCAACTACACATAAATTGGACAATGGTATTTTAGTTTTGCAATAGCTTAGATGTCAATCACTATTTCCCCTACAAGCACGTCCTTGCATTTTGCAAATTCTCTTGGTTTGGATTTTGGAGTGTTTAAATAATTCTAAATAACACATTATGGCCTTGTTATAGTGCGTTATGACATCAAGGCTTGGGTTCGCCGCCACGTTAACCCCTATGGCTCTACTCTAAGGCTTGGCTTGTATTGTAACGCGATATGGCGCGTTACTATGCGTTGTGACGCGTTATTTTTAATATATAACTTGAGGGATAAATGATAATTATATACAAGACCTCGCCGCCTTAGGGCACGCCTTGTAACGTGTATATGCTGCCTTAGGGCACGTCTTGAAAAATGCCGTGGCCTTGCCGTAACTCGTAAGGCTTGAGGTTTGAGCTCGCTGCCACGCCATGCCACGCCATGCCTCATGTCATTTAGAACCTTTTTACTTCTTTTGTGTGATCCGAGAGCGAATATGTGTGCCACAGTTCTGGAATTAGACAAACAAATAAATCAACTTCGAACTGAACGATTTTTTGTCTTATTTGGAACTTTGGTTGTAATGTTCTTAGGAGCTATGAAAAGTATATTCGTTTGCATAAAATGGAAATTTAGTTACTTTTAGTAGACGAGTTGAAATGAGCATGACTTTTTTGGAATAGCTTTAACTGTCAAGTGTCAACCAATGTTTCATTACACCATGTGTGCATGCTTACATTTGCAATGTTTACCTTCAGCCAGTTGGAACTTTAGAAAGAAATTACTGTAGTATGAAGGCTCGATAGATGGGAATAATGCTACTTCTCTTTGTTTTCCAGTCCTTCCTTATGATGTACGAGTCCTGTAAATAATTCTTTTGGATCTTTATAGTAAATACTAAATAGTGATTAGTAAATGAATAACTTATTCTTGCATTGTATCTGGCTGTAATTTTTCGGGTGGTGGGTCAAATAAACATACCATAACAATGAAAGCAATCATTCGGTCTCAAGCTAGTTGCAGCGTGATAGGCAACTAGCCAACTAGACATAAAGCCCTTCAGAAAAAAAGCAGATGAAACAATCAAGGCTCTTGGATATAAGTAGCATCCTTCCACTTTATGCTATCTAAGTCACATAGATATATTTTAAATGTAATGAAGAAAATAAATAGGGGCAAGTCTCATTATATATGCATGTGAGTGCCGCATCATACTTATTGCATGCTGCATGACTAGTTCTCATGTCGATACTTGATGATGGCTAGTTTTGGTTATTTTTAGCTCATTGATTTGATGGAAATGTTTTTTCTGCGCTCCAGGATAAGAGAAAGGATGCTGTTAAAAAAGTTATTGCAGCTATGACAGTTGGGAAGGATGTTTCATCACTTTTCACAGATGTCTTGAACTGTATGCAGACCGAAAATTTGGAGCTCAAAAAGCTTGTTTACTTGTATCTCATCAATTATGCTAAAAGTCAGCCTGATCTGGCAATACTTGCAGTTAATACCTTTGTGAAGGTAAGAAGTAGGATGATTTGCTTTTCGCATCTACATAATGGTTTGCCCTTTATAAACATTTTCATGCGCTGGTTAGAGATTAGACCTGTATCTAGAGGAACACATCAGGAGAAACAGGGTTAGGCTTAGATTGACATGAGGAAAGTAATGACCAGAGACTTGAATGAGTGAAATATGCCATAGGAGTTGTACTTCTACAGAGGATTATTTAAAGACAGGCTGTTCATATTTTGGAGGCCTTTTGAGGCGGAGGGTGGGGTTGCCGCTTTGTAAGTCCTAGTGGGCTTCATTTTTAGCTGCTTGTTGCTGTTGTCTTTGTTCTTGTTTGTTCTATTTCCTGTATGGTAATCAAAGTCCTACCTTAAATAGGTTAAATAATTTTTGTAACTATGAAAAACATGTTGAACACCACCCTTAATGTGGAGGCGAACTTTAGACATGATGAGTCAGGACATGGCCATACAGTTCAGAAAAATCAAATGGCTGCATTTGGGAATAGCTGGTTAACAAAGCTCCTGTTTATAAAAATAAGATTTCGGATTAGAAGAACTGGGATTACACCACAATGGGAACCGCAAACTAGAGCCTTTCTGAAGACTAGGATTTGAATTGTTAGAAAATTAGCTTAAAGAATTGGGTTATTGTGGGCTATAGTCTATAGGTCTAAAAACCTATTTTCTGAGACACTTATGGTTGGAATTTTACTGGCCCTATCAATGAATTTCAAATGTATACAATATACTGCCACTTCCTTCTACTCTCTCTCTCTCTCTCCATCTCTCTCCATATCTCTTTCTTTTTGAATTGTTTAAATTGATTGCTATACTCCTTGTCTTTTCGGGTCATAATACCTCAGACTCATATCTAGTACCAAAGAAGCTTCTAGTGTGTGTATTATACGAGCCTTGAAGCAATTCCTTTCGCATTCCTGTTTGAATTAAGTGCAGATGATTATGTGACAGCCTTCTTATGAATACAAGCTTGTATCTGTTATCTTAATCTTCAGTTTTATTGGTATTTCTTTGCTAGAATGCATTAGGTTTCAAGACTATTAAAATGCATAGTACTTTGTTTTTTCGTGACATTGTTTAATTTACGTTTTAGATTTGTGGATAAGAGCCCAATTTCTCTTGAACAAATCCCTAAGATGATTGCATCAAATGTTTACAGGATACTCAAGACCCAAATCCTTTAATCCGGGCTTTAGCTGTTCGAACAATGGGATGCATCCGAGTTGATAAAATTACTGAATATCTTTGTGATCCCCTCCAGAGGTGTCTTAAGGTTGATATTGTCTTCTTTCTTGTTGGAATTTCAATTATCGATCAGCTAGAGTATGATTGAATGATTAAGAGTTCTCTTAACCTCTCTGGCTTTCTTGTATGTTATTTTTTACCAGGATGATGATCCTTATGTTCGAAAAACAGCAGCTATATGTGTTGCTAAACTTTATGACATCAATGCTGAGTTAGTTGAAGATAGGGGTTTTCTGGATGCTCTCAAGGATCTGATATCTGACAATAACCCAATGGTAGTAGCAAATGCTGTTGCAGCACTTGCTGAAATTCAAGATAACAGCAGTACACCCATTTTTGAGATCACTAGCCATACTTTGTCAAAGCTGCTTACAGCTCTAAATGAATGCACTGAGTGAGTGTGTTTCCGATGAATAGTACTTTTTTTTAGTAATATGTGCTATAACTGTTGTATTCTGGATGAGTTATAACCTGTTGCTTCCTTGACCATCACTTTTTATGCTCTGCTATTTATTTGCTGTGCTCACAAGTTATTTTGAACATACTTCAGGTGGGGTCAAGTTTTCATATTAGATGCACTTTCCAAGTACAAGGCAGCTGATGCACGCGAAGCTGAAAATATTGTAGAGAGAGTTACTCCAAGACTGCAACATGCAAATTGTGCAGTAGTTCTTTCAGCTGTGAAGGTGGCTTGCTTTACTTTTCTTTTCTGTTGTATTTATCTCCAATCTGATTTATGCATTCTTGCAGTCCTGATTTTTATCATTGTTGCCTTTGTAGATGATCCTTCAACAAATGGAACTTATCACTAGCCCTGACGTCGTAAGGAATTTGTGCAAGAAAATGGCTCCTCCTCTTGTAACATTACTTTCTGCAGAACCTGAGATTCAATATGTTGCATTAAGGAACATTAACCTTATTGTACAAAGGAGGCCTACAATTCTTGCCCATGAAATTAAGGTACAATGATTCAGCATCTGTCTTTTAGCTCACTTAGTCGAGGCCTCCAGGTAGAAAATAACCTCTAACATACCTATTTTCTAGGTGTTCTTTTGCAAGTACAATGATCCGATCTATGTGAAGATGGAGAAGTTAGAGATCATGATAAAACTTGCTTCAGATAGAAATATAGACCAGGTAATTAGCATGCTGTAGGAGCTAATTTTGGTTGTCAATTTGCTCAAGGAATCTTCTCCCATCTTACATTCTTGGTGCACTTCCCCAGGTTTTATTGGAGTTCAAAGAATACGCTACAGAAGTGGATGTAGATTTTGTTAGAAAGGCTGTTCGTGCTATTGGGCGTTGTGCTATCAAGTTAGAGAGAGCTGCTGAACGTTGCATTAGTGTTCTTCTAGAGCTGATCAAAATTAAAGTAAACTATGTTGTTCAAGAAGCTATTATAGTCATCAAGGATATTTTTAGAAGATATCCTAACACGTAAGCTTCTAAAGTTTTGTTATGCAGCTAATTGTAATTATAATGTTCATAGAATTGTTGTATACTAAAATACAACTCTAAATTGGATCTCTCCTCTCAGCTATGAATCTATCATTGCCACACTTTGCGAGAGTTTGGACACGTTAGATGAACCGGAGGCCAAGGTACTAAAGATTAGCTCTAAATTTTATGCCATCTGTAGAAGCTTAGCCCACTTCATACTAATGTACTTTTCTTTTTATTTCACAGGCATCGATGATTTGGATAATTGGTGAATATGCAGAAAGAATTGATAACGCTGATGAACTTCTTGAAAGCTTTCTGGAAAGTTTCCCTGAAGAACCTGCACAAGTTCAGTTGCAGTTGTTGACAGCAACAGTAAAACTTTTTCTTAAGAAGCCAACTGAAGGACCCCAACAGATGATACAGGTATTATTTCTGTTATATGGTTGTAGATGAAGGATCGTGTGAGAATAGGAGTTACAGTGAGAAGCATAAGAAGAGATCTGGACCCTTGATCACTTTTAATATCACCCCACCCATGAATTGCTTTTATCACGGGAATTGATTACCGCATTAGTGTTGATCTTCACTTAGGATTGATCCAAGGGTGGAGATCCTTTCTCACCCTTCTCACCATAACTTCCATTCTCACCGGAACTCAACCCTATGGTTGTGTTGCTAAGAACACAAGAAGGCTTTCTTTTGGTTTTGGTGCCTTCTAGTGATGACATGCTCACTTCCCTGCACCTAGCATCAACTATTTTAACTATCTTCAAATGCCGTGTGCTAAGCACGGGTATCCTAATTACTTAGGGTACTTGGTTATCCCATGCATCCACTTTGTTGCTTCCTTCTGCCACAAACACATTAGAAGTGTTAATGAACTAATAGCTGGACTGTGATCTGCGTTTAATATTCTGGACACTGGACTATGCAGTATATTTGTTTAATGGATGAGAATACTGGGACAACTTATTGTTAGGCTCTTATGTGTATATCAATTATGTATATTTTACTAAGAATGACATCTTCTGGTCAGAGAACATGAACCCCTTAGGGGCCGTTTACCAAACGCTTACCCGGGTAAGTGCTTACAGGCAAAATTCAACACGATCACTTACTTACCAGGTAAGATTTTAGTCCACCAGAACGGTATTGTATGCAACAATTTACCTGGTAAGCGCTAACGGTGCTAAGAGTCATTGCCCTCACTTACCGGGTAAGACTCTTGGTCCTTGCCTTGCTCTTACCGTGTAAGACTCTCGGTCCTTGCCTTGCTCTTACCGGGTAAAATTCATGGTCCTTGCCATATTCATCTGGTAAGGTAATGTGAGTTGGTAAGCATTTGGTAAACGGCCCCTTAGTCTTGCATAACAGCTTTCCCCATGGCTTAGAAGAAGCTATATAAGCTATGAACAACACTAACATTGAGCTAATACATGTCCATTAAAATGTCAGTATTTGGTTGTTACGTGCTGGGACAATCAAAATCAATTGAATACACCTAAACTGTTAAAACTCTTAACAATTTCTTTTGTCGGAAGGCATACATGTCCTTTCTATTACTTAACAATCTCTCGGATATTATTCTCCACCATATTTTCACCCTTAGCCAACTCTTATCTTGGTACGAGATGTTAGAATTGAGTCTTAGTTTGCCTGCTTTACAAACCAGCATAACCTCTTGAAATAAAGGCATGTACTTTCTAAATGTGGTCGAGTGTCTGTGCATTCAAATAGAGGTATAACATGCTGTTTCACATACATACATGGATGTTTACTGGCAGTGGAGTAGATTCACCATAGGTTCTCACTTTTCACCAAGTAATGTCCAAAACTTTCACTTCGGAAATTTGGAAACGTTTTTCTCAAGGGTATCAAGTATCAACTATTTTAAGTGTAGGCTATTTTAATTTGGAACATGCCAGTTGAATATATTGAACTTCTGTATTTATATCTACCTGGATCTGGTTTTAAAAACATACTCTCATTTTTATAGGTTGTTTTGAATAACGCCACTGTGGAGACTGACAATCCAGATCTTCGAGATCGTGCGTACATATATTGGCGTCTTCTTTCAACAGATCCTGAGGTTTGTATTTACCAAGTTGCTGCATGCTATCTTCTGTTGCCACTAACTCACTAGCTGTATTGCTGCAACTCTCAACTGTTTATAAAAAAATAATCTCGAAATCAAGCATATATGAGATGTCATAAGTATCTTTATTAACCTAAAACAATGTAATGTGTGCATCACTTAGTAAGAGATTGGAAAATGATTTTGTTTTGCTAAACACTAGGGGATGGAGGAGGGTTGTCTACTTGTCTCTTGTTTCATTTTTATATTTTAGCAGCTTGATTGCTTCAGAAGTCAGCATTTTGCATATGTTTCTTATTTGGTTATTTGGAAACAAATACTATCTGTCATCATGACTTGTGTTATTATATCTCAGGCTGCAAAAGATGTCGTTTTAGCTGAAAAGCCAGTGATTAGTGACGACTCAAACCAGTTTGATTCATCCCTCCTTGATGAGTTGCTTGCCAACATTGCTACTTTGTCGTCCGTGTACCACAAACCCCCTGAAACATTCGTAACCCGTGTGAGGACCTTACAGAAAACAGAAGAAGAAGAATTTCCCGAGGGAAGTGAAGGAGGGTATTCTGAGACATCATCTGCACATGCTGCTGATAATGGTGCATCGCCACCACCTACTTCAAGCACACCTCCATATGCTACAACAAAGCAACCTGCACCTGCTGCTCCTGTGCCAGATTTACTCGATCTTATGGGTCTTGATGGTGATGGTGGTGGAGATAATGCTGTTGTATCAGTTGATCAACCTGTAAAAACTGCAGGGTAAGTATGGTGGATGCTTGACTAGTTAGAATAGTAATGTTGAATTGTTAAGATCGAAATATAATAGCATAATTTTCTTGCATATGAGTTCACTGACACTTCTATTGCAGGCCTCCACTTCCTGTTTTATTACCAGCTGCAAGTGGTCAAGGTCTGGAAATCAGTGCTCAAATGGTACGCAGAGATGGTCAGATATTTTACAGCTTAATGTTTGAGAACAACACACAAACTCCACTGGATGGGTTCATGATTCAGTTCAACAAGAATACATTTGGTCTTGCTGCTGGTGGACCACTCCAGGTACCATTCTTGGACATCAATATCTTTTGCTCCTTCCCACTATATATTGTTGTCGATAAATAACCTATAAATATTTTTAATCAGGTCCCACAAGTGCAACCAGGAACATCGGAAAGGACCCTTCTTCCTATGGTTCTGTTTCAGAATATAGCGCCAGGTCCCCCAAACTCACTTTTACAGGTTGCCGTAAAGAATAATCAACAGCCTGTATGGTACTTTAACGATAGAATCTCATTGCTTGTGTTGTTTACGGAAGATGGAAGAATGGAACGTACTGCCTTCCTTGAGGTAATATAACTGCTTGTGTTCTTTTAACTATACTCCATTCACACCCACAACATATATTGAGGTGAAATTTCACTTTTGAGATAAAACGAACTATTTGACTTCAAAATTGAATTGACAGTTTTTAAAGTGATAATTCACTTTTTGAACCAAAGTGCTTGGCTTTCTGTCAAAAACCGACCTTCCTTTTAGCTATGTTAAAATAAATATAGTTTGCAAAAATGAGCATTTCTTTTTACAAATGACCAAAATGTAAATGCAAAAATACCATCATGCTTAGCAATTAAAAATTGCATTTTTGGCAAGTTGTAGCTTTTCTTTGTGCATTTTCACAAGGATGATGGTTTATTTGCAATGAAAAGCCAAATACGATGATTCAAGAAGTCATGTAAGTTCGTTTGTTTTTGTAGTTACAATGCTTAATAGGAGAAGCTACAATTGGAAATGTTGGTGTTAATTTTGACATTTAACACATCATTAGAATTATAAAATTAGGTTTGACCTTAAAGGTCAAGGGTACCCTATGCACGCGCAGTGCTAGTGGGATTATTTTCATATAGCGGGTCAAAATAGGTCGGATTTGGTTGATCTGTAAATGCTTCCTTTATAAATTTATAAATAATGTATATGAAAAATAAATTCAAAGAATAATACTAATATAACAATCAGCTTTAAAAGAATAAAACACTTTAGAATGTAATAAAACTTGAATATGCTAAACCATTTGCCTTTATTTCTTTTCTAAATTTCTAAGCTTATCATTTGACTTGTTAAAGAATGTAACCAAAATTGACTCATTTTTACGTAAATGGATTGAAATTGCTCTCCAGTTGTACCTCTATTTGCTTTCCAAACCTGGATAATACATAAGGAACTACTTTATCGAAAGAAGACTTGCTTAGTAGCTCTTCCTTCTGGTTCTCTACTTGTGAAAACTTGAAACATTCGGCTTTAAGTGTAGTTAAATACTAGTTCTTGAAATCAAATGTCTAAAGTACTCTACGACAATGACAAAGGGAATCTGATGGAACAAATCAGAATCATCTGTGATTATTAATGATTACAATGGACAGATGTAATTTTAGCTTGAAAATTTTCTAAAGAGAGAAAGAAGCGTTATACTCGCTCCCTCCTATCAATATTGCAACATTTGACTTGGGGACATTTAATACCAACTCAAATCATACCAAACCAAAGGAGCAGAAAGGTTGTTTATGCGAATACCACATACTTGGTAATGGGATAATGACCCAATAAAAAGTCAACAAAACCTTGAATAAACCTTTGAAAAGAAAATTTCTATCCTGTCCACAACCTTTTCAACTAGTTGCCCCCAATCTTTTACCTTCTAATAAATGCATCATTATTTTATTTTTAGGTTTTTTTTACATATCTTAAATATATATGTTATTTATATATATTTTGTTTATTATTATTTGTTAGGTGTTATTAAATTATAACTTTTGTTTCTTAAGTAAGAATTTGTTGAAAATTTGGTAGTTGTTAGTTCACAACAAATTTGTAATGCCAACACTCAGTTTGAAGTTTGCACCTATATACTTCAAAACTTCCAACTAAGAAATCTACCTCTTGAGTACTTGACAATAATTCGTACAGCTAATGGAAAAGAGAGAAAAAAAGGTGCTGGTTTCCTATACGCCAAACCGATCCAATATCTTTGACATATGACTTGTTAAACCGGTGTTCTAAAATATGTTTACCTGAGTTTTGGAAAATTGAGCAGTCAAAATTTAAATTATGCCCCCCCAACAAGAAGTTCTGGATCCACCACTGGACAAGCTTTAATGCGCAATTTTCATGGGATGCCTCATAAAATGGAAATGTTGCAGCTTTCTTTAGTCTGAGGAAGTAGGGTACATCGCAAAACAGAAACTATTACAATTTCATAGGACATATAAATACCTCCTCTTTAAACCCTAAACCACCCATGCATCTTAAGTATGCAGAATGCCCTAATTAGCAAATTAAATCTGAGATTTGTGTACCTGTGATTGCAGACATGGAAGTCATTGCCGGATTCCAACGAGGTCTCAAGAGACATTCCAGGCATTGTGATAAACAATGTGGATGCAACCATAGAGCAGTTGGCTCCTTCAAACATGTTCTTTATTGCCAAGCGTAAGAACGCCAACCAGGATGTCTTGTATCTATCGGCCAAAATCCCACGAGGTATCCCTTTCTTGATTGAACTTACAGCAGTCATTGGTGTTCCTGGACTTAAGTGTGCCATTAAAACTCCAAATCCTGAAATGGCGCCATTATTCTTTGAAGCGCTGGAAACGGTTCTCAAGAGTTAATTTCTATTTTGGCCCTCCCCCCTCTTGTTGTTTTCTTGGTCCCTTTGGTTTCTGTATCTGTTAGCGGATGTATAGGTTTTAGGTTTCCGGGGATCCTTATTTGGTCATACCAACTAAGATTTGCTGATAAAAAGTTTGTATCATTCACTGTAATTTTGGTGCATCTTGTTGCACAAAGTTTACACTATTTTGCATATGTTAATTATGGATCTGTAATTGGTGTGGCACTGAAATGCAACTTTTTTGTATATTGCAAACTGCTGCGGTTTGGTTCTTTTTAGCTTCCCTTGCAGATTGAGAAGCTTATCTCACATTGCAAATGTGTATATTTTTGGATGTGATATACTTGAGAAGCTTCCCTTGGTTTGGTTTACGTTTCTTTCTTTTTATTTCTTTTGCATGTTTTCGGGCTTTTAAATTTGTATAAATTTGTTTGCAACAACATTTCTGTAAAAACCAAAACTGGATTTACAACCAATGCTTTATTCTACAACACTTGGAACAAAAGCACACGTGCAAAACGAGTGAATGAGTTTTGAATCGTAGTTTTTGTTTCTTTTTTTAAACCAAACAAATCTAATATATCTCGTTTGAAAGCAAGGTGGGGTTTGGGAAGATTGGAATGTAGGCATGACTAACCTCTACCTCAAAACTGATTCTGTGAACACCCACATAAAAAACTGATTCTGTGAACACCCACATAAAGTAGGCAGCATAAAAAGAAGAAAAAGGAAAAATGAGAAAGAAACATAAAACAATTAACAAAACACACGCAAACCATTCATCAAACGAAAAAACATCATTTTGCGTAATGATTTTCGACAAAATGAAGATGTAAAATGGATAAAAAAGCAAGAAATGATGATATCAAGAAACCATCCAAATTGAAACAAGAATGCATAATTTTATAGACCATTTAGCATCTCAACAGACAAGCTAATAGCAGTCATAATGCAAACAACTTCATACAAGTTTTCTTCTTCAAATTAAGCCGTCCCTACAACACGGTTTTGGCATTTTGAATTACAGCGAAGACATGATTTCATCAACACGATACCTCAAAGGTTACAATGGCTGAATGGTGGAGGACGGTAGACATGCAACAACAGTAATATCATGTTAAGATGTGTGTGTGTATATATATATATATATATATGTATATATATATATATATATATATATATATAYATATATATATATATATATATATATATATAGGGTTAGGTTTTGTTGAGAAGTGTAAGAAATAATCTCCATCCTTGGATGCACACAAGGATGAGATGCACCATTGAATTATTGTATCAAACGCGATTCATGAATGAGTTTGAGATTAAAGAGGGTCCAGATCCATTCTCACGCTTCTCACCTTAACACTCCTTGTCTCACGGTCCTTCGCCTATATATATATATATATAGACTTAGGATCGTGTGAGAAGAAGAGGTAAGATGAGAAGCGTAAGAAGAGATCTCCACCCTTGATCACTTTTAATTTCATGCCCACCCATGAATTGCGCTTTAGAAGAGAATTGATCTGGTGCATCTCATTAGTGTTGATCTTCAATTAGGATTGATCCAAGAGTGGAGATCCCTTCTTACCGTTCTCACTATAACTTGCCTTCTCACCAAAACCTAACCCTCCCCCCCTCTCTCTCTCTCTCTCTTTATATATATATATATATATATATATATATATATATATATATATATATATATATATAGTTAGACCGTTTTCACTGAATGAACATGTAGGTTGACCGTTTGACTTAGTCCATGCGTCTCCTAGAATAACGATCATTACTCCTGCATGGGGAGTGAGATCTTTGCCAAACGTATCTTCTATGAGGTGGATAGCTTTGCCTACGATTGTTTCCTGATCCTACATGACCATTAAGTTGGCTTTAGGAGATAAGGGACAGGTTCAAATGAGAAGCATAAAGAATGGCCTGAAGTCATCGCAAGCGAACTTCCATGGCCACAAGGGCTTTGGCAGCGCCTGAATTTGAACCCATGGAAAATGAGATTTCCACAACATCCCCCTAAATCAATTTGGAATCAAGGTGCAAGACTATATTTGCAAATTTAAATCTACCTTAAAACAGACAACAAGACTCAAATTCTGAGCAAAAATTAGCACTAAAGAAACGGACATACCTCTTATATTTTTCACACCATATATGTTCCAGGAGTCGTTCTCCTGCATTTTCTTTTAGCCTGCATAACACCAACACCGAACCTGTAGTTCAGTGATTGAATGAATGTAGATATATTTTCACGCCATAAGTAAACCAGGTATCTAAATGTTTAAAATGTTATATCTCATGTACCAAAATGAAGGTTTTGAAAGTATGTTATCCAAAATAGGAATCAGTACACTCCTTGAAAATATAAAGAGAAGGGTATAGAGCCACCACCTCAGAAGCTACTTAGACAATGTGTTTGATGGAGATACACACAGACCAGACCTGCTGCCAAAGGCAATGTCTCTCAAAGATGAGCAAAAATCAAACTTCTATAGGAAATTAATGAGCGTAAATGAGATGTTTGAGTGATAATATTACAATTTTAAGTGTGTTTATTACCTTTTCTACTGTTATCAGACAACCTTCCAGCACTGCACAACACAACGGTCAGCATCTGCAGTGGTCTCCATAGTATCAAAAGTGAACCTGCGAGATTCTTTGGTCCTTGGATCCATTACCAGATGGCATTCTGTAACCTGAAATCCAAATCACAAATATGAACCCAAAAGAACTTGTAGCAGGGTCAAACGAGAGTTGGGTTCAAACAAGAACAGTCACCAAATAAGAGAACACGACAATGGCCAATTCACATGTGATTTTACCCTAAACAACTAAGCTGACTTGTAAAATCACATGTACTAACAGGTCGCTTAGCACATCTTGCATTGACCGTGTTCCATAATCACATGTGATCTCGGTGACTGAAATTACATGTGATTTGGCCATTCTCATGTTCTCTTATTTTAATCCTGTTTTTGTTTGATCCTCCCTCTAACAATCGATGGAGACAAATTTACCTTTCCATCTTTGTTGAAGGATCGCTAGAATCAGTTCTAGTGGAAGTTCCTGTTACGTAAAGATTATTTCCAGGATTCAAAACATCTGCAGAATCTGGGCTCCTATAGCAACACAATCAAATAATTATATATATATATATATATATATATATATATATATATATATATATGCTTGCATATTTGCATGTGATTTCTACCACTCAAAATACAGGGAAAACTAGATGAATTATAGGAGAAAAATAGAGGTCTAAATGCAAACTAAAACACAACTTGTAATGATGAGCTATGTGAAACAAAAGGTATCAAGTAGATGGTTTCTTTGTGTGTACATTTTCAAACCCGTTCATTCTTACAAATTGAAGTGTTTTTTCCCCATATTTTTGCAGAAACGATGGCCATGGGAGGTTCAAATAAGAAAGCTAAATATCGTGAAAAGGCAAGAAGGGAAGGTTCATATGTGATCATTGAAAAATCCCGGAAAAAGAATCTATTTGAAGATGACCGGCATTACAAATTATTCATATGGGTTCACACATGCATCTTCAAATGGGTTTTTCAATGATTCGGATATGTTTATTCGCATATGAACCCTCCCTTCTTATTTGAATTGACCCTTTTTCAAAGATAATGCAATTTTGAAGAACAAAATTCTCGGTTCTTGATTCTGTAATCCATAAGCAACAATCAGTACCCAACAAGCCCTTTAAGCCCCTTTTTACCTTCATGAACAACAATTGGAATCTCTTAATTCTTGATCAAGGGCTTAACGTTCAACACATTCAATCTAACAGACAAAATTCTGGAAATTCGACTGGTTAAATTAAGTCACGGTATGAATATAAAGCTGTGGAGTAGTATGAAATGAACATAAGGAATAGAAGATAAAGAACATACCCTCATTTGATCTTATAAATTTAGCTGAAGAAATCTCAGAAACCCAATTGAAACATGGAAGTTCTTGTATTGGGAATTGATAGCCGCATGGCAATTGGTAAAAAAGAAACCCCAAATTTGCAAAAACAAATATAGAGGAAATATTTACATTCAGATCACTTGATTATTTATTATTTACACACAGCATCTTTATTCCAAAAAGATTCATATTATTAACCGACTACATGTGAACAAACATAATTACGAAACAAACTTATGTTAATCATTATATTAAATTCCAATTATAGATGAAAAACAAATCATATGAAAAACACATGATACACTAGTGCTCAAATATCAATTTATATGTATGTGTATGCATGGGCGGACCTGTATGGGAGCAACCGGTGGCACGTGCCATTGTATTATTTCGCCTCCAAAGGGTAAAATTTTTAGGTTTCTAAACGGTGCTACCGTATTATTTTGGAAGGTGCTACCGTATTATTTTGAAAGGTGCTACCGTATTCAAACATAACAATTAAAATTTAAAACCCAAACAAAATAAAGCCCAATTATCTAACTTAATAAAATGCAAAGTCCAATTAATTTATTAACATTAATAAAATGCAAAGCCCAATTATATGATTAAGCCCAAATCAAATATACAAACTATTACCTCCTCCATTCCTCCTCTTGGATGCTTTATTTGAAAAACATGGATTAAGTTTCACAAAGGTAAAAAGATTTCTTAATAATTTATTTGCTTTTAAGTCYTAATTATATCATTAAATATTTGGCTAAATAACTTAATTTATCTTTAAAATAGGTAAGGGGTTAAACCAAGAGATTTCCCTTGTTCGAGCTGGAGATACACGATGGAATTCTCATCTTAAAACAATCTTGAGTTTGATTGCTTTGTTTCCAGAGGTCATACAGGTGCTTGAATATGTCGAAGATGATGGTGATAATGGAGCTAGTCGGCTTCAAGCAAGAGGTCTTTTATCATACTTAAAGACATTTGAATTTATGTTTTATATGCACTTGAATTCAACGATCTTAGGATTAACAAATTCATTGTCTTAAGCTCTTCAAAGGAAAGATGAAGACATATTGGAAGCTATTGATTTGATAGGAACAACCAAAGGTCAATTACAAATGTTGAGGGAAAATGAGTTTGATCAAGTTTTGGAGAAATGCTACTCTTTTTGTGATAAACATAAAATTGTGAAGTTGGATATGGCTGAAGCTTATGTTAATACAAGAAATTCAAGGAAAAAGACGAACATTACCAATCAACATTATTATAACTATGATATATTCAACACTGTTTTGGATATGCAGATCTGAGAGTTTGGTGATCGTTTTGGTGAGATAAGCACCGACTTGCTTCAAAATATGGCGGCTTTGAATCCACGCAATTCGTTTTCTCAGTTTAACAAATCAAGCCTATTGAAGTTGAGTCAGATGTATCCCCGAGATTTTGAAGACAAGGAAAGGATCATTCTTGAGCATGAACTTGATATCTACTATCATTCTGTTTATAATGATGTCAGATTTGCCAACTTAAACGGTATTGCCGACCTCGCCAGATTAATGGTTGCAACAAGAAAGCATCTTTCTCATCTTTTAGTCTACCGGTTATTGAAACTGACACTGGTTTTGCCTGTTGCAACTGCTACGGTTGCAAGATGCTTTTCGGCGATGAAGCTTGTCAAGACAGATTTACGTAATCGAATTGGTGATATTTTTTGAATTATGCCCTCATTTGCGCCATAGAAAAGGAAGCCCTTAGTAATGTTAAAAACGAAGATGTAATCGATCGTTTCCAAAAGATGAAGACACGCCGAGGACAAATTTAGAAGTTGTTTCTCAACATATTTTTTGTAATTATTTTTGGGTATATATTGACCGTTTTCAAAAGATGAAAACGCGTCGGGTACAAGTTTACGAGTTGTTTATCGGTACCATAAAAACCATATTTTTTGTAATTATTTTTGGGTATATATTGACCGTTTTCAAAAGATGAAAACGCGTCGGGTACAAGTTTACGAGTTGTTTATCGGTACCATAAAAACCATATTTTTTGTAATTATTTTTAGATGTATATTATATTATATTAATTATATGGTGCCATCGTATGGAAAATTTTCTGGGTCCGTCCCTGTGTGTATGTGTATGTGTATGTCAAAACATACTTAAGTAAGAGTATTTACAGATACCATATGATGTTATATTTATAATCAAAGAATAAATTGAATTGTTGGTTCATAGTATGTTGTAAACATACTCAAATATCATATTATCATTTGATTGATAAAATAATCATTACAGAAAATGCACAGTCTACTATCGTACCATCGCTCAACCAAGTGCTTTCTTTTCACATGACATCCAAATTTTTAGAGGATTGTTTTTTTTTTCCTTCAGATTGTTCCAAAAACAAAGTTTTCCCGAACAAATTTATTTGGTGGTTAACAACTTGTATTGAACTACAGACCAACGAAGTATCTCTATTCTTCAGCTCTTTACATTTCAAGTTTCTATTGTGGTTGTGTTGCTGGTTGTTATCTTTTACTCTTTTATATATAAACATAATCCTGTATTAAGTTTTGTTTGAACTAAAAGCTTGTGAAAACCGATGTGTAAAGTGCTAACAACCTCTGCAGGGTTGCACATATATATCATGTTTCGTAATTCTGTTGGTTAAGGGTAGGTAGACGCTTGGGTCATATAATGGAGCGAGATGCAGCCTTTCCGTTCTTGACAAAGATAAGTCTTATATTAGCAGATCATTTCTAATAGCAAACAGACATAATTAATCTGATAATAATCAAAAATAAAACAAAAGTATCCAAAGTAATTAAAAAACCAATGCATGTAATCGAATTTGTAAGTAATCATCGATAATTAAAAAATGAAAATGCCCATAAGCAAGCACGAAAGGGATTCAAAAGCGGACTATAAATTTATTGTAGCAGTACATTTTTATAAAACTTTATATAAAATAATAATACAATCAGTTTCATCACTTAAAGATAATTAAAAAAAATCATTTCCTTTTCTCATATTAAATTTAAATATCATTAAAATTTTATTTTATCTATTTCAAAGAATTGCTAAAAATATTTTTATTTATTTAGTTAAAAAGTAAATACCGACACAATTATGGTTTTGCTACCGTATTCAAACATAACAATTAAAATTTAAAACCCAAACAAAATAAAGCCCAATTGTCTAACTTAATAAAATGCAAAGCCCAATTATATGATTAAGC